AACTGCAATATTACGAGGATGAGCTATCTCGAAAAAATCAAGTTCAAGCCACGATTTTCACGTGGGTAATTGCCAAAAGGAGAGAGCCAGTAAGCCAGCCCCCGGTCTTTGTACGTGGGTATTGTTGGGATCATACCAACATAGTTATCCAAGTAAATTGATTTATAATAAGTTTTAAATAATATTTAATGATAATAAGTTGAGTAATATTCAGTGCAAATAAATTGCAGTTGTTCGATATCAAGAGGTACACAATGTGATTGTTGGAGGCTTTGAGTTTGTGGTATGACATTTGTATTGGAAGAAGAGATTCTTCATTCCGGTGGCCTAAGGGCCGACCAGGTACCAGTAGGCACCGAACCGGCACCAGATTTCGGCGATTTCGTGAACCAGAACCTTGGCCATACGGGTTGGTGCCATTTCTTTTTTTTTGTTCCGACAGTGCCGATCGAGGGCGGCGGTATTTTGAATATATATATATTTCTAAATGGGTCGAACCGGCCGAAAACCAATGAGTTGGTGACCCGGCGATTCATTACGGGCCATTAAATTGAGATCCACCATCGTGGCGGGTCGGGCCGGGTTGTGACCTGCCCCGTCATTTGGGCATATCACTATTCTATTAATAGTTTTATTTTTCAATTTAGACCATTGATTCGAAATTTCCTCGAAGTTATGATTTATGAAGAGATAAAACTTAAACATGTCGACATCTTACTTAATAATTTGCAATTAAAAAGCAAAAATGTAATACCATCACTAATGGTGGGACCTACACTTGCAAATTGCACCGGGCACTGGAAATGGCATTACTGTGATTACAGGTTTTTCAATTATTAACTTTTGTTACTGCTAAACGACAAACGCTTTTTTTTTTTTTTTTATGTTGTTTCTATTTTTGGGAAATACTATGGTCCCGTTACGATATCGTAATATTCCGTCGGGTATTTTAACCGTTTGGATCATTTATCTTATGCTAACTACATGTGTATCCAACAGTTAAAACACTCGACGGGATGGTACACTAACGGAACTTTAGCATTTCCCGCCATTTTAACCAGGTTCAATGTTTACCCCCATTAAATAAGGGTGTTGATTTTTGCCGCCCCCCTTTTCGATTATTACCGCCCCCCTAAAAGTCGTTTTTGCCCTTTCTAATAAAATAAAAAATACATTTATTATTCACTTTACATATTTTTTCTCCCGGTTCCGGACATCGAAAAATTCCGAAAAAAATTCCGACCTACTCCGGCGATGACGATGGCGGCGAGTAAGGTAAAATTTTTTTTTCTCGGCGGCCGGCCGGCCGGACCGGCCGGTTCACCCCTGGCCGGCCG